TTCTGGGATTTCCATTAGCATTTAAATCATCTGTATTTGACATTATGTGTACACATGAGTGTATTTGTTTAATTGCTCACCATTAATCTATCCCACTAAAATAGATACTTTTTTGAGAACAAAATATCTTTTTTTGTTCACTGTTTTATCCTCATTGCTTAGAACAGAACCTGACTCAGAGTAAGACACACAGTAAATATGTGTGTGAATAATGAATAAAATGTGATTCATTCATAACCTAACCAAACTCCTTTCAGTCAAAAACACTCTCCACGTGACAGGTTTGGGGAATGGCAGCAATAGGAAAGTAGACATGTTTGATGGACTCATCGTGACCCTGTGAACAGTGATCTGAAGTCTGTCCTGTCCTGTGCTGTCCTCATCATCTCTGACACACTCGAGCCCGTTACTGCAGTCACTGTGTCAGTTTTATCTCGTTGGTCTTCCTCTCTTTGTCTGACCCTCCACCTTCCTGAGCATAATGTCCTTTTCTGAGGAATGGCCTTTCGTAACAGCATGCCCAGAGTAGGTGAGATGAATTTTAGCCATCCTTTCTCTTAAGGATGGCTCTGGCTGCACTTTCTCCAAGATATATTTGTTCTTTTGGCGGTCCGCGGGTTATTCAGTGTTCTTCTCCAGCACAAGTCAGAGGCATCAGTTAGTCTGTCATTCTTCTTCATTGTCCAATTCACAGATGCATAGCACGTGATCGAAAAGATCATGGCTTGAATCAGGCATACTTGAAACTGACATCATTGTTTGTTAGTACTTTGGAGAGGTTTTGTTGGTTTTTTTTTTTTTTGTTTTGGGGGGTTTGCAAAGGAGAAGTCTTCTATAGAAGACTGTTCAAATGCAATATGCCTTTTGATTTCTTGAATGTTAGTACCAAGAGTGTTGTTTATTAATCCAAATAAGATGAACTCATTGATAACTTCAGTCTTTATTCTCTTCCCATTATGGACCTCTGTGATTGTTTTCCTGTCTTATAGAGCTGAGGTGCACTATCATACTTTGCCCCTAGATGTCATTCTCCTACATAGAAACACAGAATCGTCAACTGTCAAAATCCTGGTAATGATCATAATAATCACAGTTACCGTTTCCACGTTGTTGTTGTTGTTGTTAATAATAATGATGAGAATGAGTACTACCGAGTCAGAACTGACCCATCGCTGACCCTTCAGTGGGTTTTCAGAGGCTGTTAATCACACAGGAGGAGATTGCCCAGCCTTCTGCCACGGAGGAGCTGGTAGATTCGAACCTCCTGCCTTCGGGATTGCAGTGCAGTTTCTTACCACTAGGCCACCAGAGCTCCTTTACCATTTCTATACCTTCTATATTGCAAGCATGAAACTAGTTACTTTCCCATACGTTATCTCATTTTATTCTTAACACTTTCTCCAGTCAGTAAACTGAGACTTGTCACATTTAAGCATGATCTACCAGTTCACGTTTGGCAAGATTTAGAATTAAGACAAGATCTTTGACTCTGAAACCTGCGTTCTTTCCTTTGCGCCATCCTTAGAGACTCAGCAGCGCAGCCTGGCAGTGAGGACTTGACTTCTTAGGTATTGTCGTCCATACAGCCATTGCCTGTTGAGCATTGTTTGCATAGCTGGCCTCGGGCACCAAGAACACAGCAGTGAGCAAAACACATGCCATATGGAACTCACAAGCCAGTGGGGAGGGCAGGCATTAATCAAGTTATCACATATAAATGTAAAGTTACAACTGCCACAAGTCTCCAAAGGAGATGGATGTGGTGATAAACACCAGTGAAATGTCCTCTGACCTTGTTAGTGTGTGTGTTCCATGGACTTGAGTGCTGTCCGGTGGGGAAGGCTTGGAACCTGTACAGGTGGTGCTTCCTGAGATTGAACCTGAGCTCTGGGCAGGAAACAGTGACCTTGAACTCATTCAACAGCTCCCCATTTTGCTGGACCTTTCCTGAGCAATCACTGCTTCATTCCCCAAGACCATCTGAGTGAAGCCTTTGTGCAAAACAGCAGGATATGGGGGGGGTCCCTCCCTTCAGGGGGGGGTCCCTCCCTCCATTCTGTCATGAAACAAGGTGACAAGTGCCCCACCTAAGACGTTCATGAATTCTCAAAGAGGAGCTCCTTGGACTCAGTCTTGAAGTCAGGACTGAAGTGTGTCTGTGAAAGGTAGAGGAACATCCTTCCAGGGGCAGGCATAGCATGAGTGATGCCTGGAGCTGGAACAGCGTGTGTGTGTCAAAGGTGGAGAGGGGGTGTCTGCTGCTTGAGTTTGACCCGGTTCCCTAGAGGGCAAGGGTCAAGCAGAAGTTTCTGCAAAACAGCTGTTCCCTCGATGCTTCTAGAAAGACTCAGAAAAAGGCTTTGCCAGCTCCCCAATGCAGGGAAAATTGATTTGGGTGGATTTTATTGCTCTGACAGGAAATCAGCAACTTTTTCTTTTCACATTAGGCCACGAAGAGATCGCTCGTCTCTATAATGTCTTTAATCATTGAAGGTGCAACTTGGTGATCTCTCTTAATCCTCTGCCCCAGTTTTGTTTATTTTGCCACAAGCCTTTTCCAGAACTGCTTCATCATGTTAGCTTTTTGGGGGGTGGGGGTGGGGGCAGAGAAGATATAAATGTATGATATACAGGTCAGCTTTAGTGCTGACAGGATCTGTCCCCAGGCCAATCCCTACCGAACAGGCAGAGGGAAGAGAGGCGGGAAAACTATCACAGAGCAATAAAGATATCTCAGGCTGTGGACAGCGATGGAAGTTCTATTTCTTCTTTTTATATCTTTCATCTCAATCCCATCCATCAAACTTTTAAGTACCTTCTACTCGACACTAGGCCCAGCTAGCGATGCTGAGCGTACACAGAGAAGTAAAACAAGCTTCCTTTCTGTCAGGGGCTCCCAGTTTACCAAGGAAGGCAGATACATAGACAAGTTAATATAAGAGTAGACAGTGTGGAAAACAGTTGTTGGTGTAGCTCCAGAAATGGCAAAACTCTGTCCAAATGTAGGCTTCACTCCTGGTTGTTGCTGTTGTTGTGAGATGTGATCAAGTCAGCTGTTACCCACAGCAACCGGATGAACAGCGAATCATCCTGTCCTGTGCCATCCTTATCATCTCCACCATGCCCCAGGCCCATTGTTCCAATAACTACGTCAGTTCATCTCTTTGAGGGCCCATTTCTCTTTTAGTGACATTTTCCCAGCCTGGTGTCTTTTTTCCAAAGCCTGGGGCCTCCTGACAACATGCCCGAAGTATGTAAAACACACATGTCACTACCATTATCTCCAAAGAACACCCTTGTACTTTCTCTAAGACAGCTCTGTTGGCAGTCCATGGGATACAGTCAATGTACTCTTCGCCAGCACCACACTTCAAAGGCATGGATTCCTCTCTGATATTCCTTAGCCATTGTCCAACTTTGAGTTGTATAGGAAGCGCTTGAAGGGAGCTTTGGTGGCCTAGTGGCAAGAAGCTGCACTGCAATCTCAGAGATACACAGTTCAAATCCATCAGATGCTCTGCTGGAGAAAGAGGGCAATCTCCTCCTGTACCAGTAAGATCCAATTTGATGGTACACACACACACACACACAAAATAGTAAAAAAAAAAAATTTTAAAAAAAAGACCGTGACTTGGATCAGGCACACCTTAGTCTTCATTGCTTCGCCTCCCAGCTGTGTGATATTAAGCAAGTTACTTAGTCCTGCCTTCCACCAAGCCTTAGTTCCTTCACCCATAAAGCAGAAGTAATGGTAGTATCTGCCTTTACATGAACCAAAAAAGCCCCAAAACTCAATTACTGTTGAGTCAGTTCCAACTCATAACACCCATCCACTGAAGCTATAAATATCTTCAGAGAAGGAGACAGACCGCCTATCTTTTTCCCTTGGAAGGGGCTGGTAGATTTGACCAGGGAGTAGTCCAGTACGTTACACAGTTTGCCTCAAGAGCGCCTCTAGTGGATCCATGGTGAGGCGTTACACTGCCAAGCCAAAGACAGGCGGTTCGAATCCACCTGCTGCTCTGCAGGAGGAAGATGGACAGTCTCCCCTGCAATTTACAGCCTCTGAAAAGCTGCTGGGGGTTCAGCTATATGTAAGTTCTGACTCCACTTAGCAACAAAAATGCATGTGACATAGTCAAACAGAGCCTGGGACTTAGTGGCTATTTTGTATGCATGGGTTCATGTAAAGGCATATGTTAGCCTGACTTGAGGGGTCCCAGTGCTGCAGTGGTTGACACACTGACCAAATGATCAGTGGTTTGAACCCATTTGTGATTCTATGGGAGAAAGACGAAGCAGTCTGCTTCTGTAAAAGTTTACAACCTCAGAAGCCCCATGGGACACTCTCCTCAGTCCCATAGGATTGCTGTGAATCGGAATTCACTCGTCAGCAGTGGATCTTTGTTTTGATTGGAGCCTGGCACAGAGTAAGTGCCCAATGAATGTTAGCCTTTCTTTTCCTGCTGTGGCTACTAAATCAAGTGATAAAATATGTGAACATACATAAAGGGAGAGTAATTTGTTCTGCATATGGGGTCGCCATGTGTCAAGATCAGCAGCAGTTAACAATAACTTGGAAGTAATCAGTTCTGATGTGGGAGTCAGAGAGGACTTCATGGAGGAGGTGGCAATCAATCTGGGTCTTTAAGGATTGTTAAGTTTGCCAAACAAAAAGAATAGAGCATTTCAGACAAACGAACCAGCACCCACCAAGGCCTGGAGGGTGAAAACCACAGCCCAGCCAAAGACTAGAAGGGGTCAAGCCTTCACAAAGTACATGTGTGAGCTTGGGAAGCGGATGGAGCCCAGCTGAGTGAGGCAAGGCCTTGAATGCCAAGTGAAGGAGTGCGGCTGGTGGTGCCTGTGGGTGAGGGCAAGTCACAGAGATCGTCAAGCCAGCATGACATAATGTGCTCTCTCCTCTGACATGGCCCCTCGGTCACTGCCTGGAGATCTCACTCTCATGTCCACCCCCTCTGCCCTCACCCACCCTGCAGATCATCAAGGACCAGAAGCTGCTTGTGATTGTGGGGGGCATGCTGCTGATCGACCTATGCATCCTGATTTGCTGGCAGGCTGTGGACCCCCTGAGGAGGACAGTGGAGAGGTACAGCATGGAGGTGAGCGCCAGGGCCAGCGGGAGGGGGCCTCGGAGGTCAGCTCTCAGACACGTGGGGACACCAGGAGTTCACCTCCTGCATAGCCCAAGATGCGACTCTGGGCAAGAGATGCTCACCACGTGTTTTTAAAGCCCCAGCTTATGAAAGGAGAAACAACGTGGCATTTAATCTCTCCTTTAAGGTAAGTCTCCAAGAACAGGGAATTCTGCTGACCTTCCTAAAACCCACTGGAGGGTCAGCTATGAGTTGGTTCTGACTCGACACCACACAACAAGCCTCCTGGTTACTGTGTGACTTTCAAAGTGATGAACAATAGATCTTTTTACTCATTTGATAGCAGAAATTTTCTTGTTAAAAAGACTGGAGAGTATTATGCTGAGTGAACTAACTCAGTCTCCTAAGGACATATACTGCATGAGACCATTACTATAAAAATTAAAGGATAATGAGTAAAACATGTATGGGGATCCAAGGTGGGAAGGAAAGGAATGGGAGCAAAAGGGTAAGGATGGGTAGAGGTGAAATCACAGGGTTGCACAATTTGGTGAGTGGAAGAAGAAGGTAAAGGAAACAGAAAAGATCTAGCAGGGACCTGAAAAGACAGGATAATGATGGGCATAGTCCAATGGTGATAAATTTTATAAGCTATAATGAGTGGGAATGATTGTATGAAACACAGTGTGAATGATGAATAGTGTGATAAACAATGTATAAAAATTTATAAACAAACCAATATAAAGTAATTTTTTTAAAAAAAACAATCCTCCATTAAAAAAAGTAAGTACACTTAAGTATCTGTCTTATATTACAGGGCGTAGCCTTGCCCTTCCATCACAGTTGACCTTCCCAGGTTAGGATAGTTTGGTTCTCATTGGAAATGGTGCTTGTGTTCACTTCCTCTTAGTTAAACGTGCCTTTACTGAATGGAGTTGGACTAAGCTGGCTGTAAGCTGTAATTGCAATATGGTGTAGAAAATTCAATTGAGAAAACTAGGGTATCCCCAATTCTTAGCTTGCATTCTTAGGGAGACCTATTTATGAAATTTAGTGTGAATTCTTACACTAAGCTGAGAGTGAGTGCTCTTTCTGTGTTTTGGAGAGGAAGGTTTTATCTATTCAGACAAGGAATATTTCTACCAAATAAGATTTATCTCAAGATATAGGGTTACTCAACCCAGTAAGGTGTGTGCTGTTGGCGAGGTGGATTTAGGACTTTGGGCTCCATCTCCTGCCCCCAGTGTCCACTCTCAGGAGGAGCCATGACCCCAGACGGGCACAGCTGGAGCTGGCAGTGTGCCACCCACAACTGCCTGTGCCCATCGGCCTCGAGACAGAACTCAGCTGTTTGTAGAAAGGGAGGTGACATCTGGGCACCATTCTGCTGGCATTGACTCAGAATTGCCCCTCACCCCAGGGGAATTCCCCCTTACCACCCACACTTAGAAATGCAGGCAGAATGTGAACACTAAGGAAGTGGTTAGCAGGGCCTCCAAGCTCAGGAGAGCCTCGGTGATGATCATAACAAGCAATAATGAAAATGCCAACGCTGAGTCATAGTTAACATTGTTAACTCCTCAGATCTTCTTGATTATATGGTGTAGGTGCTGTTGTTAACCCATAACACACTTCCTCCAGGTAACCAGCAGGTAGTAACAATGCCACAACTCATCCACCTACCCCACCATTCAGTTCACAATACCACTTTACATTTTTTACAGACCTTCCTAGACCTGCAGTCTTTGGCCACAGATCTATGGTGTGGAGGAGGTGTTCCTTTTCTGCAGATGATTAGTGGGCAAACTGAGGACCTGGGAGACCAGGGAGGTTGGAGTGAGGCAGGCCTAGAGCCAGGACAGGGCGAGAGAGAGAGACCAAATCCAGGAAGCCAGCTGCTGAGCTCCTGGACGAGCAGCAGAGGAAGAAGGCCTGCCTCCTCCACCCGCAGTTAAGGTGGGAGCTGAGTACACACAGGGGGCTCTGAGTCTCCAGCCACGGCTGGGAGAGGTGGGCAGGGCTGAGAGGCACTGAGTCAGCAGACAACAGAAATAGATCCTGGAGGCCTGTCCCCCAGGACCACCTAACACAACCAGCCTGTGCAATCGTCCGCTTCTGTGCAGGAGTACTCGCCTAACCTTCTTACTTTCTGTGTGATAGGAAGCGCTGCTGCTCTCTCAAGGGCTCTATGCCCAGAACTCTAGAACATTCCAGAACTATTCCAGAACATAGTTCTCAAACCAGAGAGCCCTAGGATGCCTTTCTGTACAGATAACGAAACCGAGGCTGGGAGGACGGGTCCTGACCAGAGCACCCAGCTTGTGTAGAACTGACCTTGGACACCAGCTCCTGACTCAGATGCTCCCCTCCCACTCCATCTGCTCAGATTTCTGTCTGATCCTTCCTGGCCTTCTCATCTCCTCCTCCTCTTTTAGGGTTGCCCTGTCACTCTGTTGCCATGGTAACAGAAGCCTTTGATTTGTCAGCCCACAGTCCTGTTGACTTATTGTCATTTTCCACCTATCGGCGCCACGCCAAGCTGTTTGCCTCCTCGTAGACCCTCCTCTGTCAGACAGTGTGGTGGGGAACAATGTGCTCAGAGAGGGGGTGTACTAGATGATCCTTTCAGGGACTCTTTTACCCAGGACCACTGGCCGGCATCTTTCAAGGAAGAACTATGGCAGAGGAGTCATTGAAGCTTGGGGAGAAATAATGAGAGATCTCGGAGGTCTGACGTCCCACTGCCCTGTCCACCGCAGATGCCCAGGCTGCTCTGGACACTCTGCATGCCTGGGTTCCAGTATGGGCCTCACTTGAGGCTATCCCGAGGCTGTACCTCCAAGCCTGTGTCTACACTACACCTTGCATCTGTCTGCTAGGTAAACGACCTGAGCATCAGTGCTGCCCTCTTGCAGTACAGTTTGGATAACTGACAGTGATAAGCCGTCACCCGTCTCGCCTTTCTTCTTTCTATTCCATGGTAAGCACTGCTGTTCTCGATGGTTCTGTTCAGGGAAACTCCAGAAAATTTCAGAACTTCCAGCGCATCAGTTCCCAAACTAAGCTCCTTTGGGGATGTGGCTCTGCCAAGGTTCAGTGTCGCTCAACCAAGCCTCCTCCCAGCATCTTGAAATCGATACAAACTGAGTCACTTGCCATTGAATCAATTCTATCTCTCCGTGACCCTACAGGGTGAGTCAGATCACCCCCACCCGCTTTCAGTCTTCATGGAAGCAAACTGCCCCATCTCGCTCCACGGAGAAACTGGTGGTTTTGAACTGCCGACCTTTCCTTTAACAATCAAGGGCGTAAGCATGGTGCCACAGAGGCTCCTCAGCACCTTGCTGGCTCCTCCATCAGGACCGTTCTCAGGCTGGCTGCCTGCTGTGCAGCTCTGTCCTCACCACTTCCAAGCCCCAAGCTGGTCCCAGCCTCACCCTCACCCACAAGGACCTGCCCCTTGGGCAGAGGCAGGAGCACAGCAGCGTGGGCCCAGCTCTTGACTAGGAGCAGACTGTAAACACACCAAGAAAGAAATACTGCTTTAGAAAGGAGCCCTGGCGGCGTCATGAGTGAAAATATTTGTCTGCTAACCAAGAGGCTGTTGGTTCAAACCCATCAGCTGCTTTTTTGGGAGAATGATGAGAGTGTTTGCTTCTATAAATAGATATTTACAGCCTTGGAAACCCTGTGGACAGCTCTCCGCCGCCGCCGCCCCCACTCCTACCCCGAGACATTGTGAGCTGGAATCAGTTCAGTGGCAGTGGGTTTGGCTCGGGAGTTTGTGTTGCTATGGGCTGTGTAGATTCTGTTACAGTTAGAAGGAAGTAAACAGGCTGAAAGATCAGAAATAACAAGGCCGGCTCGTGGATGGATCCTCCCTGTGAGCATGCGTGCTGGCATGCAGGGAAGGAAAAGCTGATTCTGACTCTCACTGGAGGCATCCCAACTCACTTACTCATTTTTATTTAGTAAATATTTACATAGCACTTGCTGCATTGCCAGGTACTATTGCAACTGTAATAACTCCTTCAATTTTATCTTTGCGACAATCCCAGGAGAGGGGAGGAATGATGTCCCCATTTTATAGATGGGGAGACTGAGGCACAGAGAGGTTCAGTGACTTGTGCAGAGTGACAGCCAGTAAATGGCAAAGCCTGAATTGTGTGACATAACTGGTCTGTCTTAATCACCCTGCCGTCCTGCAGGGGAGCCCAGGTGGTGGGTCCCTAGAGAATCCCTGCAGACCCAAAGTCTGGACCTGTCTAGCGGTTCGAATCCACCAGCAGCTCCACTGGAGAAAGATGGTCAGTCTCCTCCTCTACAGTTTACAGCCTCTGAAGACATGCTGGGCGGTCAGCTGTGAGTCAGTTCAGACCCAACAGCAATGATAGTGTGTATGTCCTGTCCTGGCTGCTTGCTTGGGTAGGACAGGTCTTAGGAAGCAGGAGGGAGTCTTGAGTTCTTGTTTCACCCTGCTCCCCATTGCAGAGCCTAACACACCTTTCAGAGCAGGCTATGTCCGTGGAGCCTGAACTCATGGCCTCCATGTGGCTATTGAGCCTGTACTGACTCATCACCCCTAAACCTCCTTACATGCCCTGAGTGAGTTTAGCTTTACACTCATTTATCCATTCAGTGCTTTAAGTACCTACTGTATACCTATTATACAGCAGGCCCTGTGCTGGACTCCAGAGAAACCTCAGCATAAGAGGCATAGCCTTGCTTTCAGGAACTCCTCCATGCAGCTGGGGACACAGAGAAGTCAGTGGAGAACTCCTGCTCCATTCGGCGACGATGCTGGACCAAGTGTAGGGTGCTGTGGGAGCCCCAGGGGGCACCTGTCTAGCCTTGCGATGTCAGAGCAGGCTTCTCAGCTGAGAGCCGAGTAGGTGTAGGAAGCAGAGAGGTGGAAAGGACGTCCCAGGCAGAAGTAGCTGCATTCGATCAACTGATTGAGTCCTGAGAGGATGGGAGGTTGGGGGCCATTGAGAACATGATACAGA